TTCGTCGAGATAACCACATCTCTGTGTGTTCTCTGTGTGTTCTGTTCATATCCAACATTGACTGAGATTTCCTGGATAGATAGAGCTGCTTTCGTTCCTCAGGGCTTTTTTTAGATCCCTTAAGACACTTACAGGAAAGAATCTTTCGCTATTCCTAAGCGCCTTCGAGTCTTGTTATTCTTCAAATACAAGACACAAGACATACTCAATAAAGAGCGTTACTGAACGAGATTGTTGGTGATCAAAAGGCTGAAGTAAGCAGTGCCTATTATTATGATCTGTTCTATATACTGTAGACTTGAAGATGTTAAGTTTTATAAGGAAGCATTTTTTGGGTGTCTGTTCCGTAATGCAAAAGTTTCGGGGAAAAGATTCCTGGGTGGACTTCTTCCTTATCATTGGAATAAGAAGGTGATCAGTATATTTAGTGTGTCGGGTTCTAGCGCTAGTTGTCTGGAATTATAGAAATAAGAAATATAGCTCGTCTAATCTGAAAATAGCGATGGATTTGTTAAAAGTTAGCAGCGTTTCGTCTGTGAAAAGGCGTTGTAAGGTGGAAAATAATTCATCACCTGCAAGGCCGTGTAAAACACTTTTCAACTCTGTCAAGTCTGTAAAATGGGGGTCGAACAGCACCAACCTAGACATGGCAACAATACTTCATTTTAGATCTATTCTAGCTCTTGGAAATATAAAATATACGAGGTTTGATTTATTTTATAAAGCTTTTGCAGGTGATTAAAAGCCATAAAATATTTTTAGGTTGTAAGAGGTTTTTCAGATATTAATAATTTCCTGATACAAATTCTACTAATTAACCCATAGCTAGGAGGGGCGAAGAAGTGTGTTTATAACTTTCCAAATAATATAAGTGAATATAACTGGATTTAGAATTCAACTATCCGATTTTCAATTTGGAGCCAATCGCACATCGAATTTAGGGCTCTTCGTATTCCGAAGATGTCCCTCATCTTGCTACTGACCAAGCTCGACGTTGCTTTACATCAGTGACTGTACGAGAACCGATGTTTCAAGGTAACATGAGCGAAGCAATCAGGTACGTTCTATCAGGTCATCCCATAAGTTCTGTCCGGATTATAACTTTTTGTTAAAATGAACGAAATTTAAAGAGTATTTTATAATGTCTAATGGAGCTGAACATTATTTTTATGTTTAGATGCATTTAAACTGATCAAATTTTATTTCAGAGAACAATAAAATTAAATTTTGTTTGATTAAAACCCTGCTAACATGGAAGTACCCAAAAAAATCATTTGAGGCACATAATGCTTTCTGAGTTCAAGAAAGGAAACTCAGCAGCCGAAACGGCTAGAAACATTCACTCAGTTTATGGAGAGGAATGTGTGAATGAAAGAACTTGCAGAAGATGGTTTGCAAAATTCAGAGGTGGAGATTTCACCCTTGAAGTTGAAGATCGAACCGGACGTCCAGTTGAGTTTGATGAAAAGCTTCTTGAAGCAGCCCTTGAAGAAAATCCTGCTTTATCAGTTGAGGAATTAGAAGTGGTTCTCAGTTCAAACCATACAACTGTTCATTGTCATCTTCAACAACTTGGAAAAGTTCCTAAACTTGGAAAATGGGTGCCTCATGAATTGTTTGAAAACAACCTCAAATCCCGATTTGACATCTGCTCTTTTCTCCATTCTTGCCAAATTGTTTCACCTTTTTTGGATAGACTTGTGACTGGCGACGAAAAATGGATCTTTTATCGAAATGTTAAGCGTCGTAGACAGTGGCTTGTTAAAGGGGAAGGACCCCAGCCACAGCCGAGAAAGGAACTTCATAGGCAAGAGGTTCTTCTTCAATCTGGTGGGATCGCCAAGGAATAATCCACTTTGAATTCTTACCACTTAACAATTAATGCTCAAATATACTGTCAGCAATTAGAGCGTTTGAACCAAACTTTGAGGAAAAAAAAACATCTCTAGTGAATCGAAAAGAGGTGATGTTTCATCAGGAGAATGCGCGACCACACACAGCAAGAATCACGTCACTAAAGATCGAAGAACTTGGTTGGGAAAAATTCCTCATCTACCTTATTCTCCGGATCTTGCTCCTTCAGACTACCATTTGTTTCGTAGCTTACAGAATCATTTGGAAGAAACAGCTTTTGTAACACAGGAAGAGGTTAAAACTGACATTTGTGAATTCTTCGAATCAAAGCCAAAAGAATTTTACAGTAATGGAATTAGTGAGCTTGTCAATACATGGAAGGAAGTCATAGATAATCAGGGAAAATACATTGTTGCTTGAATCTGTAATTAAATGTAACATTTGGTCAATTGTTTTCTTTATTCAAAATTCGGACAAAACTTATGGGATAACCTGATAGATCGATACATGTACTCGAACATTTTATTTAATGGGACAAACAGTTTCAGGGTCCTACATAAGAAGGAGTTAATTAAACCAAAAATTATAATCACATGAGAAATTATATAAAAAACTTAATCAATGCAATTTGCCATATGTAATGAAG